GGGAATGAAAACCTCTTTAACAAATATACTGTTATATCAAGAAGCAGAATTTTCCCAAAATTATAAATATTTCTAAATGGACACGAAATACTACAAAATTGCCTTGAATGATGCTACACATCCGATAAGGTTAAGGTATTTATCAAAGATATGGAGATTAAACATACTTTAATATCCTGAGAACTTACCAGATTTAAACCCCATCGAAAATTCATGAGCAATAATCCAGGCTAGATTTGGAAAAATAGACTGTTTATCAAAGTTATGCTTAATGTCAAATGTGATAATAGTGTGGTTTCATTATGAATTAAATCATGTATATCAAAAAAATTTTAACTCAATGCTAAATCATATAAATAAGTGATTGTAGTAAAATTAGGACATATTACAAGTTAAAAAATATTTTAATGTTATTAAAAGTTGTATGCTGTACTGGACAAGTCAACATATTTATTTGAGAGGTTAAGCAAATTGCCCAGGTTCACACAGCCAGTATATGTCAAAAGTTGGACTTGAACCAAGGCCTTACTAACGCTGAAAATGGCTTTCTATCCGCTGTGCCACGCCACTATGTGATTTTTTAAAAAGATGTATATTTTTGGAGGAAAGGCAATCATGGTTAAGTGACTTGCCCAGGGTCATATAGTGAGTAAGAGTCAAATGTATAAGGCTAGATTTGAACTCAGATACTCTTGACTCCCAGGCTGGTGTGTTATCTACTACACCACCTAGCTGCCCCAGTGATTTTAACAATACAATGATGGTAGTGGTTGTGATGGTGGTGATGGTGGTGGTGATGATGATGATGATGATGATGATGATAGTATTGCTACAAAATGTCTGGGTTTGGTTTTGTTTTCAAAGAAATCAAGCCGCTTTCACAAGAATCATCTCATCGGCCCTAATATGATTCCTGTGAGAAAAGGAAGGGTGAATATTGGATCCATTTTACAAAAAGGAAAATGGCGATGGAGAGTAGTGAAGAAGCTTTCTCTGGATCACCCAGTGGGAAGGTGGGACTAGGACCTGACTCTTGGAATTTCTGTTCCAATACTCCTGGAAGTAGAAATGCTGGTGAAGAAAAGTTTTTCCCTACAGAACACTCTGCCTTGAATGTCATCCCTTTCTGTCAAAACAGTCATAGACCACCACCATCATTTGGTTTATTTGAGTTTGGCAGCTATATGGATGGACCACTGGACCTGGAGTCAGGAAGACCTGAGTTCGAATCTGGCCTCAGACACTACCAACTGTGTGGCCTTGGGCAAGTCATTTCACCTCTGTTTCCTCATTGTACAAAGGAAATAATAACAGCACCTGCCTCCTAGGGTTGTTTTAGAGAATAAATGAGTTAATAATTGTAAAGCACTTAACACAGGGCCAGGCATATAATAAATACTATTGAAATATTATTATTATTATTATTATTATTATTATTATTGAAGAACTTTAGCTAAGACAAGTTAAGGGTAAACCGTTACAATTCTTTCATGCCAGTTGCAATTATTCTAAAAATTAGGTGAGAGGGGGCCTAGTTTTGTCTTTCAGTGATGATTTTCCCTCTATCTCCCATCTCTGTAACTATGCATCTTCTAGCCCTGATGTCCGGAATGCACTCCAACCTCTCCTCTGACACTTAGGATGTCTAACTTCCTTCAAAACTCAACTCAAGTCCTACCTTCTACATGAAGCCTTTCCAGATCGTCCCCAGGAGCTAGTACATTCCCCTGCCTCACCCCCCAAATCCCCTGACATCTATCTTGTGTGCATGTATGTGTGTGTGTGTGTGTGTGTATGTGTATATATATATATATATATGTGTGTATATATATATACACATATATATGTATAGATATAGATATAGATATAGATATAGATATAGATATAGATATAGATATAGATATAGATATAGATATAGATATAGATATAGATATAGATATAGATATAGATATAGATATAGATATAGATATAGATATAGTATAGATATTGGTAATTGGGGGTTAAGTGACTTGCCCAGGGTCACATAGCTAGTAAGTGTCAATTGTTTGGTCTGAGGTCACATTTGAACTCAGGTCCTGCTGACTTCAAGGCTGGTGCTCTATCCATTGCGTCATCTACCTGCCCCACCTGTATATATTTTCAATATACATATTAGCTCCTCTGATGGAAAGTAGGCTCCTCAAAGGCAGGAACTGTTTCACTTCTTTTCCTTTGTTTTGTCACTGTGCTTTGCCTAGCCCAGCCTAGCAAATAGTAGGCACTTAATAAATGCTTGTTCATTGACCAATTGATAGATCAATTCCTCTATACTGACTACTTTCCCAGTGACTTCCTCACTCCTTGGCAACTGGCTCTCTCCACCCCTTCCCCCCACTCCCCTTCAAAGAGACTGGGCAGATTGCTGCATCCTGAGGAGCTGGGCTGGGAAGACAAGTACTGCCACAAAGCCACTCCTTCATTGGAGTAACTCTGGATTTCCACCACACCTGTCAAAGGAATGAGTGGGGAAAACAATGACCAGCTATTACCTCACTGCCATCTGCAGGGAAGGGATGAGTTCTCATATAAGGTACACTTTTTGATGTTTGGAGGCCTGTAGTGGGAGCACATTTGGACCCTAAGACAGCAAGTGTGGTTGGAGCATAGCGGTGCATAATAAACGCTTTTTGATTGATTGATAAAGGGTGGGGGGAGGTTTTGAGACAAAAGTTAACCCCTTAGCCAAACAGCCTGAGGATCAAGGCATTTCTTTTCCTTGTTCCTATTGAAATAGTCTTCCTCCCACTTTGGGCAAGCCCAGTTCCCTCAGCTGGAGTGCCACACATTTCTTCTCCCTGGCCCCTACTCCAATAATTAGTCCTTCTCATGCCAAATTACTTTGTATATAATAGATACTTGCTATGCATACATACAAATACGTAATAATTATAATAATAATCTTGTTTAGTCATATCTGACTCTTTGTGACCCAATTTGGGGTTTTCTTGGCCAAGATACTGGAATGGTTTGCCATTTCCTTCTGCAACTCATTTTAAAGATGAGGAAACTAAGGCAAACTGGGTTGTGACTTGCTCAGGGTCACACAGCTAGTAAGTATCTGAGGCTGGATTTGAACTCAGTAAGTTGAGTCTTCTTGACTCCAGACCTGGCACACTATCAACTATCCCACCTAGCTGCCCTTGTGACTCATGAAGAGTTGGAATAACAATAATGATAATAATAATAGCTCCCATTTATTTCGTACCTACTACGTGCCAGGCACTAGGCTAAGCTCTTTAGAGATATTATCTCATTTGATACTTTGGATGTATCAGGTATATCAGACCACAGATTTAGAGGTGGAAGGGACCGCAAGGCCATCTAGCCCAGCCTTCTCATTTGACTGATAGGGACCCCAGCCTCAGAGAGATTAAGTGATTTGTCCAAAGTCACATGGGTTGTAAATAGAAGTGCAACTCAAACCTAGATCCCCTGACTCCAGGTACAATGTTATTTTCATTGCATCATAGAGATTCTTCTTATATATACTGATAAAGACAGAGAATCCCACTCCCTCACTTTCTCACTCTCTTCCACCTAGTTTCATCTTTGTTCCAAACCAAAACTACAGTATCTTTTACAGAAGGTGACTGCCTCTATACCTTTGTACAGGCTGATCCCCATTCCTGGAACGCACTCCCTCCCTCCTCACCTCTGCATCCTATGATCCTTAGCTTCTTTCAAGGCTCATCTCAGGTGTTACCTCTCATAGGAAATCTCACAGGAAACCCCTTGGTTGTTAGTGTTTTCCTCCTTTCTCAAATTCTTTTATACTTATCTGTTTGATAAACAGTCTATTTTTTCCAAATCTAGCCTGGATTATAGCTCATAACTTTTCAATGGGTTTAAATCAGGTAAGTTTTCAGAATATTGAAGTATGTTAAATCTCCATATCTTTGATAAATAACCTTAGCCTTATCTGACATGTGGCATCATTCAAGGCAATTTTACAGTATTTCATGTCCATTTGGAAATATTTGTAATATTGGGAAAATTCTGCTTCTTGATATAATATAGCATAATAATAATTGCATCTCCTGTATAAGGTAAGCCTCTCGGAACAAAACTTGTGTTTTGCTTTGTTTTCATAGCCACAGAGCCTGCCAAATAGTCAGTACTTGCTAAGGATTCGTTGAATGAACTAGTGTTCACAGAAAACAGCTTAGAAAACTCTGGCCAGTCTGTTCCTGCCCCTGGAACCAATCAATCATCAAGCATTTGTTAAGCACCTTCTGTGTGCCAGGAATTCTGTTACATTCTGAGATACAAAGACAAAGATAAAAGACCCTGCCCTCAATGAGCTTACATTCTATAGATCTATGTGAATTAAAGAGCCAGCCCAGAATTTTATGAAAGTGAAATATACACACAGGGAAGGGAGGCTCATTTATTCTTAATACAGAACAAACATCGATGTCATTTTTATACACACTGCATACATTGATTTATACATATGTACATACACACGTAGGCCCCCATGAGCACCTTCTAATATTATTTTCCCCGTTTCACAAGTGAGGAAACCATGATCCCAATAGTGCCTTCTTCAAAGGTTCAAAATTGAACAAAACAACTAGGGCTTTTCAATTATACCATCCTTATAAGAAACCACCTCAGGCTTACTTACCCCAAAGTATGTTCTGTGTCCCTCAACTGATGTTATGCAACCCAGGAGAGCTAAGGACCCATACAGAGGAAGGAAGGCCCTATTTCCTTAAAAGAAATATCAAACTTTGATAAGAGAAGCCAGGCTGAGAGGGTTCTTCCTCTCCTAAGGAGAGCATAGCAACTTTCAGGCAGATTCATAACCTCTACGAAGTCCAAACAGGCTTCAACATGCCATAGACAGGTCATAGGCTCAGGTGAGAATCCTTTAGGCAGCAGTCTTCCTGATCTTATCTCATATTGTTGGCCCTGGTTTCAGTTCAGTGGGGGAAATGGGATCGAAAGCAAAATCATAAGCCCCAGTTTCTCTTCAATCTTCTTTCCAAACACTTCTTCCCTGGAAGCAAATCTGTAAGTCACAGGAAACCAAGATTTGATATTTAAGACAAGCCACTTGACAGTCAAGAAAAGAGTCAGCCTGGAGCAAAAAGATGCTATAGACATTTATTCTTTTATGTCCCCCTACCCCAGTTTCTCCTTTTCATCCATTCCTTCTCTGTATGGCAATTCTCCCATTCCCCCCACCCACCCACTGCTTTAAATATCTAATGGCCTCTCTATCTTCATTCCTATCAAACCTGTTCTGGGGACAGGAAGTGGCATCACTCACACCAAAGTACAGTGATGAATGGCATTGAAAGAGTCCTGGATATTCAGTCATAAAACCAGAGTTCCTATCCTGGTTCTGTCATTTACTATCTCTGTATCCTTGGTTACCTTGACCAAGTCACTTCATAGTAGATCGTCAGCTTCTTGAAGGCAGAGACTATCTTTTGCCTCTTTTCTGTATCCCTAAAGCTTAGCATCGTGCATTTGTTTTTCAATGGTTTTTCAGTCATCTGACTCTTTGTGACCACATTTGGAGTTTTCTTAGCAAAGATTCTGGAGTGGTTTGCCACTTCCTTCTCTAGCTCATTGCACAGATGAGGAAACTGAGGCAAACAGGGTTTTATTTGTCCAGGATCACATGGCTAGTAAGTGTCTAAGGCCAGATTGAACTCAGGAACATGAGTTTTCCTGACTCCAGGCCAGCATTCCATCCACTGTGCCACCTAGCTGCCCATGTCTCAAATAAAAAGGTTCCATTTCTCCAAAATCCTTTCCATCTTAAAATCTGTGATCCACCCAAAACACTCTTATGATTCTCTATACACTAGAAGGTTGGTGAACCAGTGGACAGCAGCTGTGGGACTTGCCTTTAAAGAGGGTCTCATACTTGAGGGTAAAGCATATGACTGGGCATGGTAAGCTTTCCCTATGTTAAGAAATGCATTTCTGAGTTAAGATGTTTTCACTATTTAGGGTCTAGGACTTATTCTGTGAGAAGACAAATTTGGAAGTTACATCTTCAGTGTGATCAGCAGAGATGCTCCAAGCTCTGCCTGCTCGAAAAATATTGCCTTCTGGCTATTATGGCATTAGCCTCCCTACCAATCTCACCTGATATTTCCTTTAAGTTAGATAACAAAGGCTAAGCTAGTATCTCCAGAAGGCCACTTAAAATGAACAGCATATAATCAGGATGTGACAAAAGGACTCTTTCCTATGAATACCATTTAATTTGTTATAGAGGTTCTTAACCTGGGGTTTATAGGTAGCTTTTAGAGGGTTCATGAACTTGTTGGGGGGGGGGCATTACATCTTTATTTTCACTAACTTCTAACTGAAATTTAGTGCTTCAATTATGGATGTAGCCACAGGAGTGTGGTGGTGTTTAACAACCAGCTCTCCAGGTGAAGAGGGAGGAATGTAAACATAATACATTTTTCAGTCTAATCCACATTACTAATATTTTCCCCATAGTTTGCTAAAGTCTAGACAATCAAAAAAACAGTAAGACATTTTTGTAGACTGCTGATTTCCAAAGTGTAAATGTTCACACTGAAAAATTTAACAATCAGCTCTCTCCATTTGAGCTGGCTCCAGCACACTCCTGGACGGAGGCACCAAACATTATTCTGAGAAAGATGATAATACATACTTATAGACCAGCAGACTCCCAAAGGAGTCCATAACCAAAAAACAAACAAACAAAAAAAAAACTTTAAGAACTCTGGGTTTATTAAGTTAGTTAATTGAATCCTTAGAAGACAGAGAAAGGGCTTATATTACAGGATGAGATACAGACAGAGTAAATTTCAATACAGAGGAAAGGAAAAACATAGGCACCATGAGCCTTCAGTTGATGGAGGACAAGAGAATCCCAAAAGCATTCATAATAATAATTATATCTATTGTGTACATGTGCTTTAATGTTTGTAAAACTCTTTACATGTTGTTGTTCTGTCATGTCCAATTCCCATTTGGGTTTTCTTGGAAAAGATATTGGAATAGTTTGTCATTTCCTTCTCCAGCTCATTTTTTACACATGAGGAAACTGAGGCAAATAGACTTAAGTGACTTGCCCAGAGTCACATAACTAGTAAGTGTCTGAGGCTAGATTTGAACTCAGGAAGATGAGTCTTTCTGACTCCAGGCCCGGGTGCTCTAACCATAGAGCCACATAGCTGCCTTCTCTACAATGTGTTATTTCATTGGATCTTCACATCTAAGGTGGAGGTCATTATTATTCTCAATTTATAGATAAGAAAGCAGTCTGAGAGAGGTTCAATATCTTGCCCAGGATGACGCAGCTAGGAAGAGTCCCATGTAGAACGCTAACATATACTTCCAGACCCAAAGTCTTCATTTCCTATGTCACATGGAAGCCTAGAGGGATTTGCACGTGAGTACCAAGTCAAGTATGATAACAGAAGGCACACCCAGGGCGGCCACCTAGGAAGAAGGCTGAAAGGGTGGAGAAGGGAAAAGGTAAAGATAAACTTTTCCTACTCCGAAACTTGTGTCTTGGCTCCACCCAATTGTTAACTAATAACAAATATCACTTTTGAGTTATGTTACTGGGTCAGATCTGAGAGGTAAAAGAATAAGGGGGTAGGATGCCACATATTGTTTAGAGTAGAGAGGCCCTGCTGAATCTCTTTAGGGAAGAGGTTCATTCCTCTCAGCGTTGCCACAAAAGCCAGAACTGAGAATGATTTCTAAAAGATAGTCTTGTTATGGTGGTATTCAAGACCAGCTTTTCAGAACTAAAGGAGGTAAGCATAAAATATTTTTCAGTTTAATTTACAATACTAAGGTTTTCTAGATTTCTATATAATCAACAAAACAATAAATCATCTATGTAGATTTTGCTGATTTTTTAAGGCATAGATGCTGGCACTCAAAGTTTAACAATCAGCTCTCCCCATCTGGGCCCCAGTATACCCCTGGATGGAGACAACGAACATTATTCTTCCATACCCGAAATGATCATTTCTGGGTCCCTATGTACATGTATCAATATCATGTGTATAGAGAGCCCATCCCTGGGTTCTACATACATCCCTTAACTCCAGGATGCTACAAATGCTACCAACTGAGCCCACAAAGCTCTACACCTTGGCATTCTAATCACACTTGAGCTCCTCTCCCCCCACTTTGCCCCATGGCAACTGCCAATCCTGACCCCCATTCTTTTTGCTGTTGTTGTACAGTTGTGTCTGACTCTTCATGACCCCATTTGGGGCTTTCTTGGCAAAGATACTGGAATGGTTTGTCATTTCCTTCTCCAACTCATTTTACAGATGAGGAAACTGAGGCAAAAAGGAGGACATGACTAGGGTCACACAGCTACTAAATGTCTAAGGTCAGATTTGAACTTAGGAAAATGAGTCTTTCTGATTCCAGGCCTGACACTCAATCCACTGTGCCTGATCCATATCTATATTATACCTTTTATGTAGAATCTTCCTCATTCCTGGAGTGCTTTCCCTATTCTGATTCACTTCTACCTTTTGTAATCACTGACTCCATTGAAGGTTTAGCTCAACCACAATCTCCTATAGAAGGCCTTTGCTGATCTCCTCCTCCACTGTAACTCTGAATTTACCTAGTATATGTTTTGTATTTACTTATCAGTGTACTCATTGTTTTCCTGCGGTAGAACGTAAATTGGGATTACTGAGGACGAAAACTGTTATGATTTTTTCTCTTTGTTGTTCAGTTTTTTGTTTTTTTCAGTTTTATTTTTGACTCTTCATGACTCCATTTGGGGTTTTCTTGGCACTGATGCTGGAGTAGCCAAAGAACTAGAGTCTCCAGTACATTTTACAGATGAGGAAACTGAGGCAAAAGGGATTAAGGGACTTGCCTGGGGTCACATAGCTAGTAAGTGTTAGAGGCAGGATTTGAACTCTGCAAGATGAATCTTCCTGACCCCCAGGCCTGGCACCCTATCCACAGTGCCACCTAGCTGCCCATTGTGCAAAAGAGGATAATGTATGCTTAAGAAATGCTTGTTGAATTAAATTAAATTAAATTGGAGAGAGTAGGGAGAGAATCTTTAAAACAGTAAAGGGATGAGCTAGCTTTCAATATGACATTCATTTATCGCCATAAAACTGCTCTGCACTAACCACAATTCTCAAAAATACAACCACCAGGAATCCAAAGAGACAAAATTCTAACTTGAACACAAAAGAGTAAAAGCAGTAACATTCCAACGTGGGAGAGATGGAGGGGGAGGAGTGATAACACCAAACAGCAGCAGAGTATAGGGAGGAGAGCACTGGAATTGGTGTTCAAGGACTTGGGTTCGAATACTCCCCTGCTACTTAATACTGTCATGACCTTGGGCGAGTCACCTTCACTTACCTGAGCCTTGTTTTCTTCATCTATAAAATAAGGATGTTGGACTGGGTAACCCTTTCCAGTTTTAAAGCCTACAAGTTTTAATGCAGTCCAATTTCTCTTTCTACCTAGGCAAGCAGACAGCACAAGAAAGGAGTTGATTCTAGCCAGACTCTTCTATATATAAAATCAGCCCCTAACATAAATGACAATTTCTATCTCAAGGCCAGGTTCTCCCCATCTCTCCCACATCCTTCATGTTCTAGCTTGTTCCTTTGTGGCTTTTTTCCCCCCTTTTAAGTCTGATTTTCAAAGTCATTTTATTCTAATTTTACCTGTGCAAAATTATATGGATCCAGAGGTTTTATTGAAAAGGAAGAGAAGCACCCTTTAGAATAATATACTCATCTCCCATGCCACTAGGGATATCCTTAGATCTTAGCCCAATCCCCCTTCTAGAGAGAACTCTACTTGTCTCAACTTCACCTTAGTCATTTTTTTCTAATTATATCAGAAGGATATATTCCATATCTTACCACCTTGGGAGAAGATAAAAATTAAAATACAAGGGACATAGGAGGAGAAGGAGTCTATGAGTGTGGAATATTGGACACACTGTCAGACAAATACATTATGTTTTGCTTAAATCATCTTTTTGTATTTTTTATGGAGAAGGGCTTATTAAATGGGTGGGGGAGCATGTCTTGAGTTTACTGGGATGTAAAAACAAAAGACAATAAGATTTATTTTTAAAATTAAAGTAAGTTGAGGCTCCAGAGCTCTGTGAACAGAAAATCATATTGCCTATATGAGAACAAAATGAAACCTCACTGTATTCTTCCTCTCACTGTGGTCAAGAGACAACAGAGTGCTGAAGGTTTAATCACCTAAAAACTGCTAATTACTTCAACATATGGGTTGGAACTAGGATGAAATTTTTTTTCAAACATTTATTTATTTCATAAGAATAATAACAACACATTCTTATAGCATATTTATCAGATGTTTTCTTCATAATAAACCCATAAAGTAGATGGTATGAGTATTGTTATCCCCATTTGACATATGGGGAAACTGAGTCAAAGAATCAAAGCTTAGTCTGAAGTCACTCCTGTCACAGGTAGGACTCAGACTCAGTTGTCCTTTTTCCAAGGTCAGTATTTATATCTCTACACCAAGCTATCCCACAAACTGTGCTTGGATTGTAAAATGGGTCACTCAATCATTTAGAAATTTTTCAAGTCTCAAAGTAAATGTTAATTGCTCAAAGGATATGCAGGCTGATTGTCTCGGTAGATAGACTGATGGCTATTACTCATTCATGCATTAATTTTTCATTCATTCATTAATTCAACATGGACATATCAGGAAGCAAAAATTGAGTTCAAATCAAAATCTCCTCATTCCAGGTTTAGCATTCTACCACACCAGAACTTTAAACTCCCAGAAAAAGACCAGCTTTGTCACCCAGTTCCAAGTAACAGGCAAAATCTTAACCAAGTAAGTTATTAAGTGATTTTTTTTTTATTATAGAAAAGGGGAAACTTTCAGTTCAGGTTTTAATACTCACTTCTCATCGTGAACGAGCCACTAATTTAGATCCATTGTTAGGATTATATGTTGAATTCTAAATAAGAGAGAAAATAACAGCAGTGTCATGAATCCCCCCCCCAAAAAAATAGCTTTCATGGTGCTTTACAGTTTACAAAAATCTTCCCTCACTTCAACTCTTTAAGGTTGGTTACTAGCTTTATAATCATGAGTAAGTCAAATCAAGCCTCAGTCTTAGTTCTATTTTCTCCAAAATGGGTGTTATCAACCTCATGTTGTGAATAAAGTGTTTTGTTGAAAGCCCTCTAGACAAAATGAGCCATTACCATTATTAAATTCCTTTTGCAGATAAGGGAACTAAAGCTCACAAAGTGGTACTTATTCAAAATCACATGCACAGCAAATAAGTAGTTGAAATGAGACTTGATCTCAAGTCTTCTGACGCCAAATCCAGTCTTCTTTTCACTATACCTGTCTACTTTCCAAAATGTACCCATTGATACTGAAACCTTCCCTGGTTGATCACTACATCCCAGATGAACAGACTTTTCCTCCTCCAGCTATCCCATCCCATCCCATCCCCCCGCCTCAACCCCATCTCCTTTCTGCCATGCCAGCATTCTTGTTGAAGAGAGGAATATAACTTCCACACTCCAAAGCCAGTCCATTAATATACTTCACTCCTACACCACACCTCTGCCACTTACTAGTTACTAGAGCTTAGGCAAGTCACTTTGCCTTAATTTTCCCATCCATAAAATAGGAATAGTAATTAATACATATGGGATCATAAGATTTAGAACTGAAAGGACTTTTAGAAATCATTTTATCCAACTCTCTCATTTTAAAGATGAGGAAAATGAGGCCAAGAAGGGGGAAATGATTTGACTTAGGTCAAACAATAAATAATGACTAGAGTACAAACCCTAGCCCCAACTCCAAACTAGGGCTCTCCCTGCTATACCCCACTACCTGCATAGGGATATTATCCAAAAGACATCAAGTGCTATGCATAAATGTCAGCAGCTGTTATGAATATCTCCTATTTCTGACTTTGCTGTTAGCAATCTCCCTGTTGTACCCAATCATGGTGATCCTCAGGCTTTGGGACAATAATGTGTCTTTTTTCCCTTACACTTTCATTGTGAATCGCTGGTTTATTGGAAAGAAATAGAGAGATTTTTTTTTAAAGAAAGGAAAGAAAAACTGTATGCACGTATATACATATATATAGTTATACTCATAAATCTGTGTATATATCTATATTGTATACATGTATGTTTACATATGTATATACAGTTGTACATATGGAATAGGGCATTGCCTATGTGAGAGAAAATGGAAATTATATATGTATATGTAGAATGTGTGTATTTTTGTAGAATATATGTATACACACATATACCCAAGAATACTTACACATGTTTTTAAGGGCTTAACATTGCACTAAGACTTTTGGGACACTTTGTGCATACATGTGCATACACATAGGTACATGTCCACACTCATATAAATGCATGTACCTGTATATATACATACACATATGTATACATACATTTCTCTATATTTCTATACATACAAACATATAGTCCGTGGACTATATTAGGTGGACAATTACAGCACTGGGCCTGAAATCAGGAAAACTCAAATTCAAACCCAGCCTCAAACACTTACTTGCTATGTGGCCCTAGGCAAGTCACTTAATCTTTTTTTGTTTCAGTACTATAAAATGATGATAACAATAGTACCTAACTCTCAGGGTTCTTATGAGAATCAAATGAGATAATATTTGTAAAATACTTAGCACAGTATTTAGTATATAGTTAGCACCATATAAATGTTAGCTATTATTATTATATTTGCCTATATATACATGTGTACATATGTACATGTATGCATATGTGTATGTACAGTATAAATGTGTGTTGTATGTATGCACAAACACACAGGATGTCCTCAAAGTCTTAGTGCCATAATAAGCTTTAATAGCTTAGTTTCCACATTGGGAGTTTTCTACCCTGGAGGAATTATAGATCTGGACTAAATACATACAGCACGTCCCTACACCATAGTGTCTCTCCAGATATTTATATCATCGTATGTTTATTACAATAGTCACCATTATTCTTTTTATGACCAATATCTATTAACCATACTTGCAGAGTGGCTAAGTACTATCCTTTCCTTGACTTTCTGCATGGCGACTCCTCTAAGTCCTTCCAGTGCAGTCTAATCAATGGGAGTTCTGCTATTCTAATAGACGCCTCAGCTGTCTAATTCATCTCAGTTCAGTCTAATTCAATAAGTGTCTACTCAACGAATAAACTAGTATTTATTAAGTGCTTACTAGGTACCAGTCACTGTGCTAGTCATTGTAGACACCAAGATATAAAAGCATACACCTATATATAAATGAATATAGGATAAACTAATAGGAGAATTTTGTTGTTATTTAGTCAATTAGTCAAGCCCTGCACATTCTGACCTTTTGGGGGGTTTTCTTGACAAAGATACTAGAGTGGTTTGCTATTTCCTTCTGCAGCTCATTTTGCAGATGAGGAAACTGAGGCAAGCAGGGTTGAATGACTTGCCCAGTGTCACACAGCTAGTCCACGTCAGAGGCTGGATTTGAACTCAAGTCTTCCTGACTCCAAGTCCAGCACTCTATCCACTGTGCCACCTAGCTGCCCCTATAAGGGAAAGCTCTAGAAACCAGAGTGATTAGGAAAGGCTTGATGTAGATGGTGGCACTAATGTTGAGTTTTGAAGGAAACTGTTATTCTAAAAGACAAAGGCAAGGAAAAAGTATTCCAAGCATGGTGATACATTCCAGTTCAAAGGCATGGAGAAAGTCATATGTAAGAAACAGCAAGAAAGTCAATTTGCCTGGACCTTTGAGTAAATAAAGAGGAGTAATAGATAATAAGTCTGCAAAGACAGATTGGAGCCAGGTTCTAAAGAGCTTAAATGCCCAGAAAAGGTATTTGTATATGATCCTAGAGTTAACAATGAGCCACCATCGGAGTTCATTAGGTGATATTGTCAGAACATTGTTTCAGTAAAACCACTTTAGCAGTTGTGTTTAGAGTGGCCTGGAGAGTGAAGAGAATTGAGACAGGGAAACTAGTTAGGAGGCTATTATAATAATAAAAATGATAAGTGATGAGGGCCTGAAATAGTATGGCAGCCATGTAGACAAAGAGAACTTGAGTACATGAGATATTGTAAAGGTAGAAATAGCAGGGTTTGGCTTTGGATTGAAAATAAGAGGATGAGGGATGGAGAACTGAGGGTGCAAACCTAGGGGACTAGAAAGAGGTTCAAAAGAGGGGTGAGTTTCAGGGAAAAGATAAGCTCTATTTCTAATATATTGAGTTTGAGATGCCTATAAGACATCCAAATAGATATTTCTTATTTGCTTTTTTTGGTAAGGTAATTGGGGGTTAAGTGACTTGCCCAGGGTCACATAGCTAGTAAGGGTCAAGTGTCTGAGGCTAGATTTGAACTCTGGTCCTCCTGACTCCAAGGCTGGAGTTCTACCCAGATAGATATTTCTAGTGAGCAGTCTGGAACTGAAACTCGGGAGAGAGACTATGGCTGAGAGTCATATGTGAACAGGGATGAGTACTGGGGTGGGTGGAGGGGAGGATGGGGGTAAGATTCTCTTTGCTGAGCACTGAATGCATTCAGTTTGAGATCCAATCAATTTGGAGTTGGAAGGAATGATTCTGAGAGAAACAGGATTCATGCATAAAAAGATGAAAGAAGTCTTCAAACACTAAAGATTCTGTTCTCCAGCAAAATCTGAGCATTAAACTAGTCTACTTAATACAGTGGCTGCCTTCTATTTTTCTGTCCCACAGGTCCACAGACTCCATGATGTTATGAAGAAAAGACAGGAGGCTTACTTACCTCTTCTGTCCTTGATGTCCCCTTCAGGGAAGACATCCTCACTTTCAAGGCTTCTCTTGTCTAAAACCAAAGGAAAAATCAATTGCTGGCAGTAATAGTCTATTGGAAAGCTTAGGGAAGAGTAAAACCCACAAGACCCAAATATGCCCTGCTTCAACTTGAGTATAAGAACTCTAGATCTCTAATCCAATGATTTGTTCCAAATCCAATTCATCATTTAATAACCCTGTCAAAAGCACAAGTAACCTGCATACACTGGTTACATGTCGTTTCTCACTTTGTCCTTACCTATATTCACATGCAGTTAGTGGTTGTTTGAGTAAAAATCAAAAAGAATTTTCCTCTCTCCCCTAACTCCCTCCCATTCTCCCAATTCCCACCCCCAAACGATATACTCAGGCTTTTGTCCACTCACCCCTGAACTTTAATTAGGTCTCTGTAAGATTTGCTGCAATCCCCAAGCAAGGAAATTAAGTCCACTGTATGAAGTAGACAAAGTTTACCTTTTGATCCAGAATGGTTCCAAACAGTAAGATGAAGAACCCCTAGGACAACAATCAATGTATGTAAGAACAAGGGAAAAGATCTCCCAGACCATGTCCCCTTCTGATGCCTCCCAGAATCATAACTAGGGCAAAGCAACTGGAGCTTTGGTCCAGGGCACAAAAATGTAGAGGGTTCAAATAACTCAAATAACAACATTAAAAGAATGCACAATTTAATTTGTTACATTTACATGTCAGCACCACCTGCAGTCCCTCAACAGCATACAGACAACGGTGTTTAACTCTTAACTAGCAAGAAAAATAGAAAGCCAACAGATAACAAGCATTGTTAATAATACTCATCTGTGAGCTATTATTGCAACTAACTCCCCTCCCACTCAACTAAATTTGTTTTAATTGCCTCTTGTATTATTTTCATATCATGAATTACAGTTGATTTATGGGTATGCATTTAATGCTACTGGCCCCAGGCATCGAAATTTCTGAATTTATGGTTCTGGGGTTAAGATTCATAGGACTCTTTTTTTAAAAAATTATATTCAAGGAAAATAGTAGTCAGATTTTGATATACCATTTGCTAAATTTAAAAAAAGTGGGATTTTTTTTTCCTTTGAGGCTACCTTTATTCCTGTAATAGAGTAACTTCTTCCCTGGCTATAATTGTCTTATTATATTATATCATATATATCATATCATGTTATATTATGATATATCCCATTATATTATGTTATGTTATATATTATGATTTGGTTATATGTTTTAATTTATGTGATTTTATTTTGTATGACTTCATATGTATATGAATTTGAATATTGAATTGAATGTGTATGTGTATATACACATACACACACACACACATATATATATACATATACATATACACAAACACACACACATATAGTTTACAAGATTTTGAGGGAAATGCCAATATTATTAAATGTGGGGGAGGGGGGTATGCATCTGTTTTTTCTCCAAAAGCTGACAATGATTTTTAGTCACTAAGTCAAGAATTAGGAGCTGTATCTTATGTTGAAAGGTTACGCAGGCTCCAATGAGAGTTGACATACTTCATCCTTTCATTCATAGTACCTAGCGGCACTGTGCTAGATGCTGGGAAATAAAGTAATAGTCCTTGCCCTCAAGAAGCTTATATTCTATTGGGAGGAATTAGCATATGTTGTGAGGACAGAGCATATTTCCATTCCATACTTTAGGGACAGACTATACAAAGGTATGGAGATGGTAGATAGAAAGTCATGTTTATATAAAACAAAGTGTGTGAAGGAAAGTAATGTGAAATAAGTTTGGAAAGGTAGGGTGGATACATACTGCAAAAGGCTTTGAAAGCCAAATGGAGTAGTTTATATTTTATCCTATAGACGTAAGGGAGCTAGTGAAGCTTCTGAAGGAGAGGAATGACATGGTCAGAACTGGGCTTTAGAAATGAAAATATGATAACTATGTATAAAATGGATTAGATAGGAGAGAAACCATTAGCTGTAAGTTACCAGCCTCACTTTCTTCTCCAGAGCCATCTGGGTCCAGTGGCCAGATATCAGTCAGGACAACTGGAGATGGCCCAGGATGCAGTGGGAGACCTATGCATTGCACAGGCAAGGGTACAATTATTTAACCTCCCAGGTCCCTTCTAACTGAGAACTGTGAACCATACATTCAAAGTGATAGTGACAGAGATCTGGTGGAAGATGGAAAGATTTTAAAAGATGGAATGAGAAGAAAAGAGAATCAGGTTGAGGAAAATCTTGGAAGAGGATAGTAACACAGAAGGCATTCTGGAAAAATATGGATGTAATGTCTTTTTTTATTTTTTTGCCGAATCACTTGGAAGGAAAATAGATAGCTCTGAAAATAAAAAAAAAACAAAACCCTCTAGTAAATTAATGTTTTAGATAAAGAAGGGAAAATCCAAGATAACAGATAGCTACCGCAATGAATATGGTAGCAAGGGATTTTTAACTCCAAGGGCTAATAAACAATTTACAAGGCTTATAACACCTGAAGTATATTAAGTAAGAGAAGATTGTAGCAAAAGGGAAAAGAATACCTTCAAAATGGTTAAGGAGCAATGAGTAAAGTAATAAACTTTATTTTATCTGGGTGTTGATATATCTTTTGATATTACTCTTGAGGGGACTAAGCTTAATTTAATTAATTTATTATAGCCTTAATTATTAACATTAATTAAATAATTAAATTATACATTTAATTAATTTAAGTAACAGCTTGCAACCGCACTAAGACTTTTGGGATATCTTGTATTACTTTTGTCTAGTTACTAATTCAGAATTTTAGTGCTGATAATACTTTGCCACTTTAGTAAAAGTTATATGTCTTTCAAAGCAGAGTTGGATAAAAAGATACACTCAATTCTTTCTATATCTTATCCATAATTATTAGAGATCCCTTTGTATGGACCCCCAAGCTGTAATTCAGGTATCACTATATCCCTGGTGTCAGCAAACTGAATAACAGGCATAGTACCTAGGAGATAATAAGAATCCTAGAGGGTTGGCTTTATAAATCCAAATCATAACATAACAACAAACCCCCCAGGCTAGTAATAAAAAGCTTTATGCAGCATTCAGCAAAATACATTTGTAAAGATTTCTTGTATAGATTACTCAGAAGGGAATAAGCATTTATGTAACAACTACTATGTAACAGGCACTTTTTAGAATTATTATTATCTCATTTGATGCTCACAACAACCCTGAGAGGAAGATCCTATTAATATCCCTGTATAACAGATGAGGAAACTGGGGCAAACAGAGGTCAGGTGACTTGCCCAGGGTCATACAGTTATTTGAGTTTCTGAGGATAGATTTAAACTCAAGTCTTCCTGACTCCAGGCCCAGAGTTCTACACACTGAGCCACCAGCTGCATCTGTAGCTACAACACTAGAGAGAAATAATGACTACAGTAGAAAATGGAAGGTCAGAACCAAGTGGGAGAAGGAAGGAGATGAACAAAGACACCTAGCAGTTATCAAACACCCATAATTGCAACTCAGAGTAGTAGAAATATATTCCCTGGTTTGTGTTACTTACCTGGAAAGCATTGAGTAAGGCGAAGATAATGTGCAACAATAAGGAGCTGCCGTCTATTAGGGTGGCTATTCCGAAACCCCAAGTCAGTCCCAGCAATGGGGTGAGGATAGCAACATTCTTACTGATCCTCATAATGGTCACCATATCCTGAGACTTGGAACTTCCAATAGAAGGCCTTCGAGTGTTGACAGCCACAACAAAAACCACAATGAGATTTACTGCCACAATGGTCAGTGCTGGGATGACAAAGGCGAGAAGAGCTTTGGAGTTGTCCCAGTTGAGCCAGCAGGCCTGGGGCCGCACATAAGCTTTTCTTGGTTCTGTGACAGCAACCGTAATGGCAGCAATGACCAGAGGGCACCCATAGCCAACCGAAAAGGCTGTGGCCATCATAGCAGACTTCATCATCCGGCGGAACACAATCAGTATTCCATAGAGGATGAGGAGGGCTTTGATCAGCATCCAGAAGAACAGAGAAAGGTAGAAGTAGTGACTAAAAAATGTCACTGCTACACACCAGTTGTAACTTCGTGCCGTGCCATCAAAGAAGGACGCAATGATGAACCACACATTGGCAATCAGCAGTGATGTGGCTATGTTTACAATGCACACATGGCGCATGTATGAGATCTCTGTCACTGTCACCTGGGACCACACTGTGATTTCAATGATCAGGCACAGAATAAGGCTTAAGATGGAGATGCTGAGGCCAATGCAGGTAATGTAATCCAGGGTTTTATTGGCTAAGGTCTTAGGAGACATTAGAATGGAGAAGGACATCAGGAAATTGGTGTAGTTGCAGCGGCACATGGCTTTGTCCATAACATCCACTGTTGTTTCACAGGCCTCCTTGACCCACCTCCTATTCCGGGAGTGCCAGCCTACACATTGAGCTTTGGCATTGTTGGATTTATTGATCTTCTCAAAAGTGAGTAAGACTTGCTTCAGGTTTTCTGGCAGGATCACTGAGAGAACCAGCCCATTCACCTGTCTGGGAAAACTCTCATTCTGCAAATGAGCTTCTTCTAAAATTTCTCCCAGGGTTGAGAAAGCAATGCTAATGGCCTGAGAAGGAGCTGGGAGCTTCTGTAGCTCTTTCCAGGGGATGAACACTACCCCTTGGACATCCTCCTGACCATCAGTCACCCTCATAGAGAAATTAAAACTCTTCCCTTGGGTATTGTGGCTGACTCTAAAGGCTTTGGTCTGAAGGAAGGGCTCATCTGCAATATTCTCAGGCTCATCACCGATGGTGAGATTCTTGGCAAATGAATTCACTGACTGTAACAAAACAGAACTAGTGCTCCTCTCAGGAATGAAGGCCCAATTGGAGATGACTGATCTGTCCAGGACATGGTTAGCCATTGTGCTGAAACTCTGCCAATAGAGACAAGAGATAATTAATAATTATAATAAATCGTACTTGTTCAGCACCTTTTTACACTTTACCCATCAACTTCACAGAGATTATATCTTTGAGTTTCACAATAACCCTGTGAGATGTGTGTTATTGTCATTCATCCCCATTTTATTTATTTATCTATCTATATCTATTTATTTATTTATTTTCCTTTTTGGTGAGGCAATCACGGTTAAGTAGCTTAACTCTGGGTCACACAGTTAGTAAGTGTCAAGTGTCTGAGGCTGGATTGGAACTCAGGTCCTCCTGACTCCAAGGTTGGAGTTCTGTCCACTACACCACCTAGTTGCCCCTTATTCATCCCCATTTTAAAGATAACTTAGCTAACTGAGGCCTGCTGGTTTTATGTGACCTTACCATAATCACATGCCCAGTAAGGATTGAACATTGGACTAAATCTGACTCATTTTAAGTTCATAAGATGACAGCTCTAGAAGTAAAAGATCAGAGGACACCCTGTCCAACTCTGTTATTTTAAAACTAAGGAAACCAAGGCCCAGAGAGGTTGTTATTTGCCCAAGGTCACATAGGTAGAAGGAAGACTCAAACTCAGGTCCTCTGACCCCTAATTCAGCAATCTCTTTCCACTGTCTCTTAGTCCAGGGTTCTTTCCCCCAAATAAGTTCATATTTAAAAGCAAAACAATGGCATACCTCCCTGCTAAACCTGGTCAGTAATTCTTAGTACTGCTCATGGCAATAGAGGAAGATAAGCACAAGTCTCCCACAGTATGGGTGGCAGTTTGCTTCTTTGGAGGGAATACCAACCTTAAGAGATCATGAATCCCTGGAGAATTGGGATAATCCTTTCAACTAGCCAAATTTTACTAGGGAGTGATTCACCGGACTTGAAGACCTTTTGGTCTATGAATCCCCTATTAAAATATAAACATTCTTGGGAGAAGTTATAACTTAAGCAGTCATCAATGAATACCTTATTGGGGCTTTCTTTCCAAATATGACAGAGGACTGAGAGAGCAAGGCCTAATGGAATACAAAATAGAACCCCTCCCCTGGGGGCAGTGAGCAAGCTTGAGTCTAAGTTAGGTGCTAAAAGGAGAAGGATAAAAGGCTACTAAAGGCCAACCTACTTAGTTTTTATTGTTGTTCGGTCCTCTCAGTCCTGACAGACTCTTCATGACCAGATCTCGGTTTTTTGGAAAAGGAACTGGAGTGGTTTGCCATTTTCTTCTCCAGCTCATTTTACAGATGAGGAACTAAGGCAAACAGGGTGATGTAACTTGCCCAGGGTCATGCAGCTGGGAAGTTATCTGAAGCCAGATTTGAACTCAGGAAGTGGAGTCTTCCTGACTCCAGGCCCAGCACTCTATCCACGGTGCCACCTACTTGCCCTTCTGAGAAATACAGCTGATAACATTTTACCATAAAGAAAGCTATACCTGCATCTTCCTCCGGTTGACATTTGCAGACAGTTGCATGGATATGTTTTTCAGCAACTGAACTACGAAGGCAATATTTCCAGATGTAGGTTCTGAAGACTTCACACCATTGATTATACAGGCATAATCATCTGGACACTTCTTCCGGATGCCTTGAGCTGCTGATTCAATGAGCTCTTCATTAGCTGGATTTAGTAACATAGTTGAAGAAAACCGTGAGCCACCAGCTAAGCTCGGTTCATATACTGAAACTCCACTGGTCTCCTATGGGAAAACAAAAACAAAAACCAAAAATAGTCATTGCCTTCTGCAGAAAAGAGATCTTACTGGTATCTGGTTATTATTATCATATACCCACAAAGTATAAAATCATCTTTTTGCTGGGACAGAGAATTAGGCCCAGATTAGGCAATATTTCAATGACTGCCCAAAATTCTTAATTCTCAAAATGAAATTAATTAATTCAAATTAATGTAATAGTTTTTAAACCATGATTCTTTTTAGGTGAAGAAAAGAAAATACGGAGCATGTAAAATATAATACATAATGATAGGCTGTTATGACTTCCAAAAAATTGGGAATTTAACCTGATTCACCTTTTCTCTGAGATTATCTCCAATCTATCCTGAATAGATAGATAGATAGATAGATAGATAGATAGATAGATAGATAGATATCTTGTTTGTACATAGATGTTTGCGTTGTCTCTCCCTTTAGACTATGAGTTTAACAGCCTGGACTCTTTCCTTTTATTTGTTTATTTGGTCTTTGTATTCCCAACACCAAGCACAGTGCCTGGCACATACTTAGAAGTTAAAAGCTTATTCACTTGTTAATTTGCTATCTCACTTCAATACTTTCTAGATATACAATTTCATTGTTGTGGGTGCTCCCTCCACCACTCCATCCTGTTTCAGGGGTTGCTGTAGCCAAAATAAGTCATCATACTGTGGCCAACCCTGTGGTAATGACTCTCTGACATCAAATTTCAAAAAAACAATGTATATTGTTTCTCCATTCACTTGTGGATAGTAGTAGTACCAAAGAACTTTTAAAAATTCTCTATGCCCTTTACATTCCAGCATGGAAAGATGATATTTATAACTCATGAGACCTTTGTCAGTATCAGGGTAGTTGGAGGAAAAAAATTATCTGTATGTATATGTAGATAGATAGATGGAGGGCACAGGGTGAGCTGAAGATTAAGGGGTCATATCTGGAGAATAAAATTAAGGAATGAGAGAGGATAATACTCAGAGAAGAAGAAAGGGAGAGGTAGAATGGGGTAAATTATCTCACAAAAAAAAACCAGAAAAGTCTCTTACAGTGGAAGGGGAAAGAGGGGAAGGTGAGAGGGAATGAGTGAATCTTATTCTCATAGGATTTGGCTTAAGGAGGGAATAACATACACATTCAATTGGGTATGGAAATATGTCTTACCCTACAGGAAAATAGGGAGGAAAGGGGACAAGAGAGCAGGGGGATGTTAGAGAGGAGGGCAGATTGGGAAAGGGGTTAATCAGAAATAAATACTTCTGAGGAGAGACAGGGTCAAAAGAAAGAACAGAATAAATGGGAGGGCAGGATAGGATTAAGGGAAATAGAGTTAGTTTTTCACAACATGTCTACTGTGGACATGTTTTGCATAACTGCACATGTACCACCTATATTGAGTTGCTTGCCTTTTCAATGAGGGTGGGTGGGGAGGGAGGAAGAGAGAAAATTTGAAACCTAAAGTTTTAAAAACATATGTTTAAAAAAATGTTTTCACATGCTACTGGGAAATAAATATAGGAAATGGGGTACAGAAGTCTATCCTGCCCTACATGAAAATAGAAGGGGAAGGGGATAAGAGAAGGGGAGAGAGATAGAAGAGAGGACAGAGTAGGGGAAGGGATATTCAGAATGCATGACATCTTGGGGTGGGGGGCCGGGGGAGATGGGGTGAAAATTTGGAACTCAAAAACTTGTGGAAGGGAATGTTGAAAACTAAAAATAAATAAATTTATATTCCTGAAAAAAAAATTCTCTATGCCCTGTGCCTTGTAATTGCGACATATTCATATCCAGCACCAATCCTCACTGTAATATCAGAAAATGAAGTAGGAGAGTCCGTGCTTCAGCAGGATAAGCAGAGGCTGGGGTGGAGGTGGGGAGTGGGAGGAAGGGGCTGACTGCTGAGAACTGGCTATAAGGATATAAAGTAGGTCTTAACTTTCTGCATCCCTCTGAGGCATCAGTCTCTCGTTCCATGCTCAAATGACTAATAAAGAGATCATACCCTACCAATCCTAGTAAGTCTGTACATATATATAATAATACCTGCATGTATGAAAGGTAGAATTAAATATTAGCTATAACTACTACTACTACTGCTGCTGCTGCTGCTACTACTACTACTACTACTACTATCACTACTGTTGTATTCTCTTGTGTCTACTCAGCTCGCCAATATCAACATACTTCTTAAGCCTCCCTGGAAATATTTTGTCTAGTTCCCTGTAGGTAAAGTTTGGTGGCTTCTGCTAGGAAAGACATGGTCAGACTAATTCAGGCCAACTTGACTAATGGGTAAAGTAGACATGCAACTGCTTTGGGAAGTGGGATCAGGAGTAAAAAAGAAGATCCTCCTGGCCCAAAGTTCCACATTGCCTCCCACCCAACTGGTACCTGAAATAAAGGGACTTCATTCCTTTAGCTGAAGACTTTGATCAATCTATCTATCTATCTATCTATCTATCTATCTATCTGATGGGGTGCTTGGGTACTTGTGTTTGGGTGCTTGTACTTGGACCCCAATTTCTCCCTAGCCTCAGAAACGCTATCCCTGACAGTTTCTCCCCAGCCCAAGGATGTTGTGCTTAGCAATTACTCATGAGTGTGCCCCAGCAAGACTGTTGTTATCTCTTTCCCTGGTGCAGTTCCAAACAGCACCTGAAGGAGTTATTAGTTTAAACTGGCTTTGCACTGGGTCATAAAGACATTTTTACCCACTACTATACTATTCTACTGCCCTACCTCATTATCTACATCCTGGGCTCCTCATTAACTGTATTCTAGACTTAAGACATATGTATACTCCCTACATCTATCTTGTCAAACAAGACATTGATTGGTGGCAGACTGGACAACTCTCAGTTACCCTGAACTCTGGTTGACTTAATGACATAGCAGGCCTAAAACCACACCTCCTTGTGGTTCCCCTTGTGGACTTTTCCTAGTGAACTCTGGGTAAAACGCTTGCACAGTAGGTACAAGAAGTGCATGTTTCTTTAAGAACTAATCACTCCCTAATCCCACCCTGAATCCCCTAGTTAGCATATTTGGCACACGTTTTATTGTATTTTATCCTATATAAACTTTAACTGTACCTCTCTAAGGTTGCAGGAATCCTTAAGAATCCTTGCCCACTGAAAAACGTAACAATAAACTTTGCCACCTTGACTTAAAGAATGCTTGAGTCAGTGAATTCATTCCAGACGACCCGTCATGTAATTCAGTCTTTGAGGGGTCACAACCTCTCAACCTCTCAGCCCACAACATACCTATCCATTTATCTAATGTAATATGTACATTATATATAAATGTAATGCAAATTATCCACGTTTGTATGTGTGTATGTGTATATATATATATGTATACATACATACATACATACATATACACACACACACACATATATACATATGTATGTGTGTGTGGGTATATATGTGGGCATTGTTGTTCAGTCATGTCTGACTCTTTCTTGGCAAAGATACTAGAGTGGCTTGCTGTTTCTTTCTCCAGCTCATTTTACAGGTGAGGAAACTGAGGCAAATAGGGTTAAGTGACTTGCCCAGGATCGCATAGCTAGGAAATATCTGAGGCCAGATTTGAACCCAGGAAGATGAGTCTTCCTGACTCCAAGCCCAGTACTCTATCTACTGAGCCACCTAGCTGCTCCAGGAAGAAACAACTCTTTACACTTCTGCCATTTTCAGATTCTTTTTTGAAAGCAAATTTTGATAGCAAGAGATTAAAGATATTGAATGGCAGAAGGGTGGAGAAGAAGCCTGATCAAGAAGGAAAGAAAGAAGAATGTGGAGATTTAGGGCTAGCTGTAGGATAAGACTGGGAGTATTGGTGTATGACAAACTTTATTTTAAGATTTTTCGTAAAGAATAATTGTATCACTTAACCCTAATTGCTTCACCAAAAAATAATAATAATAATAATAATTGTAACTAACATGTACATAGGACTTTAAGATTTGCAAAGTGCTTTACATATATTTTCTTATTTGGTTCTCACAAGTCCTTTATAACTATAAAAAGTAGGTGCTATTAATATTCACACTTTACAGATAAGAAAGCTGAGGATGAGAGAAGTCAAATTAATTGCCCTTGGTCACATGGCTAATAAATACCTGAGGAAGGATTCAAACTCAGGACATTCTAGCTTAATGTCCAATACCATATTCACTATGCCAAGTAGCCTCCCAGTGCAGTACTAGACTGAGCCCATCAGAAATATCTCTATTATGGCATCAAAGGTTACCTATGCTTCACAAAAGCTTAATAATGAAGCTTGGGGTGTAATTATTCTCCAGACTGATAAGGTCAGCTTCCTCCCACCAACTTCTTACCATTACCTTTCGTTGGCCCATACCCAATAACGTAAGAAACATGCCATCACCTGAAAAAGCGTTTGGACGGTAAGACTTGTGCATGTCTCAATGGATTTTTGCCACCTTTTGTTATTACATGTGAATCCTATTTCTCCACGGAAAGGCTTCTCACAGGACTGTTTGCAGCCGGAGCCATTCATACAGATGCCTTGGCACTGCCCTGAGGAGAAAGAAGAGACGCCCAACCAGCATTACCAAAAGCCAGGCAGCTAGCTATTTTTGCCTGATCTCCAAGGCATTGTAAGATACAAGTCAGAAGACCCCTGTTCAAGTTCAACTGTCGCAGATAGCCAGCTCATAATAGCTCTCACTCACATAGCTTTCTGAGAGTTCTACAGTCTTTTACTACATACATCATCTCACTCAGGCCTCCTAACAACCAACCTTTTCAGGTAGGTGTTAACAGGTATTATTCTCCCCATACTACAGATGAGAAAACTGATTCTCAGAGAGGTTGGGATGTCCATAGGCACATGCTAGTAAGGTCAGAGGTGGAATTTGAACAAAGGTTTTTCTGACTGTAAGGCCAGCACTTTATCTTCTTAATGAAATTGCTCTAGCTGAAAAGGCCCTGCCTTTCTTACTCTGCATACCAACTTGCTAGGTGGCTGAGGACACGCAGAAGCAAGGGAAAAAAATAACAAAGCAAAACAAACACCATGCCATCATGGTACTTCTGCCACTAAAACAGTGGTTCTTTCTACCATCTCAGAGTTAGAAGACACCTCGGAGATCATATAAGAATCCTTTGTACAAAGTCCACAACAATTGGTCATTCAGCTTCTGCCTGAAAACCTCCACAGAGAGGGTATTTACTACCCTATTAATAATGATAATCATAATAGCTAACATTTATGTAATGCTTAGTATGTGCTAGATAATATGCTAAGCACTTTATAACCATCATCTCATTTTATCCTTAAAACAACCCTGGGAGGTAGGTGCTATTATTATCCCCATCTTACAAATGAGGAAACTGAGGCAAACAGAGGTTAAATGAGTTTGCCTAGAAAAGTGTCCAAGGTCAGATTTGAATTCAGGTCTTCCTGATTCTAGGACCAGCACTCTATCCATTGTGCCACCTAGCTGCCCCAATTATTCTACTTCTGGACAGCTCTGATTGTCAGAAAAGTTTTCCTTTGAGCTAGCTGAAACCTGTCTCTATAATTGGCAACCTCTGTGGCTAAGTTATAAGAAAACAACATATATTATGGTCTGCAAAGCACTTTTCCTCAAAACAAACCTGGGAAATAGAACAAGTCTAATCCTTTTATCTGGGAGCGCTTCAAATGCTTACAAACAGTAATGATGCCCCTACCAAGTCTTCTTTTCTGCAGGCTACATTCCCAATTCCAACAACTGATCCAAATACGATACAGTCTCTAGTCTTCTCATAGTCTCAGTCACCCTCCTCAGAGATGGGGATCCTGCAGCCTCGAGGTCACATGTTACCCTCTAGGTCCTCAAATACAGCCCTTTGACTGAATCCAAACTTCACAGAACAAATCCTCTTAATAAAAGGTTTATTCTGTAAAACTTGGACTCAGTCAAAAGGCTGCACCCGAGGACCTAGAAGCCTACAAGTGTCCTCAAGGCCCCAGGTTCTCCCACCTTTGGCCCTGATACCTTATACTCCCCTCAACATATTCTGTGATCTAGTGATTCTAGTCGTCTTGCTGATCCTCTCACAAGACACTAAATCTCCTGACTCCATGCATTTTTACTGGCTATCCCACATGTCTGTAATTCTCTCCTTCTTCATCTTCACATTCTGCCTTCTCTCAGTTCAGTTCAGTTCAGTCTTTTATCAGTCATGTTCAACTCTCCATGACCCCATTTGGGGTTTTCTTGTCAAAGATACTGGAGTGATTTGCCATTTCATTCTCCAGTTCATTTTACAGATGAGGAAACTGAGGCAAATAGTGTTAAGTGACTTGCCTAGGGTCACACAGCTAGTCAGTGTCTAAGACCAGATTTGAACTCAGGAAGATGAGTCTTCTTGATTCCAGGCCTGGCACTCTATCCTCTGGGCCACCTAGCTTCCTTAAAGTCTCAATTAAAAATCCTATTTTCTTCAAGAAGCCTTTTCTAATCCTTCTTAATTTTAGTACCTTCCCTCTTAGAATATCTCCACTTGTGCACAAACATATTTTGTTTGTACACAATTGTTTGCATGTTATCTCTTCTATAGACAGTGAGTTCCTTGAGGGTAAGGACTGGGTTTTGTTTTGTTTTGGTTTTTTGTATCTTTAGTGCTTAGCACAATGACTGGTACTTAATAACCACTTAATAAATACTTCTTGGGGCAGCTAGGTGGCACAGTGGATAGAGTACCAGAACTGGAGTCAGGAGGACCTGAGTTCAAATCCAGCCTCAGACACTTGACACTTACTAGCTGTGTGACCCTGGGCAAGTCATTTATCCCCATCTCCTAGCCAAAAACAAACAAATACTTCTTGACTTGATTTTTTCAGATTTTGACTCTAACATCCAATATACCAATTCTGACTCTGGGCTTTGAGATATCTGTAAATCTGAGAAACAAAGAAAAAAACATGGTCTCTGTATCTCCCTCCAGGTCAGACATGAAAATGTCAAACAGCACTGGTCCAAAGACAGATCATTTGATCAATTCACTAACCTCTCTCCTGGTTGACAATGATCTATATCTATCTATCTATCTATCTATCTATCTATCTATCTATCTATCTATCTATCTATCTATCTATCTGTCTGTCTGTCTGTCTATCCATCTATCTACCTATTTATCCACAAATGCATACGTATACAAACGTGTATATATATATATTATATATATATAATCTGTATATGTGCATACATACATATATATACACATGTGTATGTTTATGCATATGCATGTATATGTATGTACTATAATTATATATAATATGACATAATATATTTTGTAAACATTTGTATAAATTTATATTTTATAAACTATAATTTAAATTTTATAAAGTTATATATAAAATATGTGCACATATATAATTTTACAAAATTAAAATAGTAGCTATTATGTTAACTAATATAAACTATTACCTATTAGGTTGCATGGTACAGTGGAAGCAATGCTGGACTTGGAGTCAATAAGACCAGGGTTCAATTGGTGCCTTAGACGATTACTAGTGTAATGACCCTGGGCTTCACCACACTGTGCCTCAGTGTTATCATCTGTAAATTTGAGGATAATAATTTTCTAAAGGCACTTTGTGCTTATCTCATAAAGTTATTGCGAGAAACACATGAGATAACATGTTTTTGTAAAACAAAGCACTATATAAATGCTAGCTATCATTTTATTATTAGTATTATTAATTACTATTATTATTCCCCTGGGTCTAGACAGCTCACTACTTTAGCATCCTTGGTAATAGTCATTTGTCTCATTCCCTAAAGTATATTTTAACCCATGATGATGATAGTGATGATGACAATAACAGCAACAACTACCACATAGATTCACATAACTAGAGTTTACAAAGTATTTTCATAGACCATTGAAAAAGAAAAAGAGGTTTGAAGCCAAAGGATGAAGGTTCAAGTCTCCATGATGACACTACCAGTGTGACCTCAGGCAAGTCACTTAACTTCCCCTGGGTCTCAGTTTCCTTATCTATAAAATTATTCCTGCAGCCTCTCCTCACTCTAAAAAGATGCTATACACTATTTTATTGTGCCCCTTTCAAGCTCATGTTAAACCTATAAGGTAGGTAGCACAAATATTATTACATTCATTTTATGGGTGAAAGAACTGAGGCTCAGAAAAGTTAGAGTAAATCTGTCAGGGTTATATGGGTAAAAAGTGTCAGAGCCCAAATTAAGACTCACTGACTCCAAACCGTGTTCTCTTTCCACTCAACATGACTTCACTCATTTCACTGACTACTCTGCAAAAGAAGGCAGAATGCTAAGAATAAATATTTTACTAATAAATTCAGGAAAAATACTTTCAATTTGCTCTAAAAACCCAGATACTTTTGTTCCCCAACTGAAGGGTGTCAGGGACCTGCTTTGCTTTCCCACATCCTTCTTGATTTCTGGAATGGTAAAGAATGTTCCCCAATTACATACCTTGGAAGCCCCTGGTCTTTGATTTTTCTTTCAGACCTTGAGTTATGTCACCAACCTGAAAAACACAAATTCCCAAATGTGCTCTTTATTATGTTCTCCTACCTTGCCTCTGTTTGTCACTGAGGTAAGAAAGATTGTTTTTGGTGCTGGGAATACTATATAATATACTTCTTCCACAGGGCTGCTTAGGAAACAACATAGCTTTGGATCATAAAACCATAGGTGTAAAGCTAGAAGGGACCCTGAGAACCACCTAGTTCATTTCCTTCATTTTACAGGTGGGGAAACTGAGAACAAGGTCAACAAATATAATAGACAGAACCAGAATGGACTTTGGAGAGCATCTAGCCCAACTTCCCTCATTTTAGAGATGGGGAAACTGAAGACAGGGAGGACAATAATAACAGAATAATAGTTAGAGCTAGAAGGGACCTCAGAGGGCATCTCGTACAACTCACTTATTTTACAGATTACAAAACTGAGGCGAGGAAGATCAGTAATAATAAGATGAAAGTGACTAAATGATTATATATTTTACATGATTGGACATACATAACCTAGATCAAATTGCTTGCCATTTAACGGAGGGGGAAGAGGAGGGAAAGAGGGAGAAAATTTGAAACTCAAAATTTTATAAAATACAAATGTATAAAATACTTTTACATGTAATTGGGGGAAATTTTTTTAAACCATTTTTTAAAAAAGAGGTTCAAACAAAAAAAAAGATGAAATATCTAAAGCTAGAAGAGACCTCAGAAGGCATCTAGCTTGAGCCCTTCATTTCATAGCTAAGGAAACTGAAACCAAGTAACATTAGAATAATTGCATTGGAACTGGGAGAGAGCTCACAAGGTACCTGGTCCAAACCTCTCATTTCACAGATGAAGAAACGAGCCCCAGAGAGGGTAAATAACTTAACCTGAAGTCATCCAGGTAAGCATCAGAGGTGAGTTTCGAACCCAGATGTTCAGATTCCAGAGGGTATGCCCGCATCATTGCACCATACTACCTCCTTGACTAGGAGTTAGAAGGCCTCCCTCCTAACCATGTGACATTAGACAAGTCTTTGGATAAATTCACCTGTCAGAATCCCAGCTTCCTCACCTATAAAATGTGTATAATAAAACTTGCACCACTGACCCTACAGGAAAGCACTTCCTAAACAATAAATCTCAAAAGTGTAATAAACTATAGGAGATGTGTATATGATCATGATTTACAAACAAATTGCTCCTTCATATGGGCTGGGATCTCTAAGTGTCCAATTAGTACAAATAGCACTTTGGTGGACATTGTCTCCCTGGGAAAGCATAGTCATGATACTATGACCAATGAGCCTCTCCCTGAACAATACAAAGTTAATTTTGCCTACAAAATATCACAGAATATGCCTTCGATTCCTCAGAATGATGAATGAACACAAAGGGTAAAGAGACTTTAGTGGTCAGCCAGGCCTACCCCTCATTATAGAGGAGGAGACTAAGGCCCAGAGAAGTAAATTAACTTGCCAAATGTCACATAGCTTGTAAATATCAACACCACACCTGGAATCCGGATCTCTTGACCCCCTAGTCCACTGGCACTTCCATTATATCACACACTTCCCTGTGGGCTTCTTAGCTGGCAGCATTCCACTTGCTGTTTATTGCATTGCCATGTTGGCCCTCTGTCATATGGTTTGGTTTTTTGTTTTGTTTTGTTTCCCCTCTCTCAGCTCAACTTTCCCTTGTTTACTTCCTGATAATGTTTAAAACTTAAGTGAATTTCTAATCCCCAGAAAACTTTCTGAAAACATGCAATGGATTCATGAGCAACCCTGCCATCTATTTATTGACCCCAGCTTTAGGATTTGCTAGAGGACTGGGCCAGTGAAGAGTTTTCATGGTTCTTGTTTACAAGCTTACTTTCAGATGGAGCTTTGGTCTCTGGTGGCAGCACTCTGTGGCCAAAAATAGCAAACAGCAGAACGTGATCACTGCAGATACCATTTTCAGGCATGAATCTCTTCACCTGGAGGGAAGAAAAGATGAATCCAGGTGAAGGTATTAATATCATTTAATTGGCACAGACAAGTGGTTGTGGTAGAGCTCTGCAGACTGTGCTTATTTTACAAACCTTATAGCTCTAAACAAATGTGAGCTGTCATCTTTTTTTAACCAGAACTATAATTTCTTTGGTATAGAGAACTCCCAAAGAAAAAAAAAAGTTCCCTCTACCAAGGCAGACTGGCACCAGCTCTGAAACTTACAGAATTGCCTGGGTTAATGAGACTTTAAATGACTTACTTGCTCAGGGTCATATAACCTGTATGTATCTGAGATAAGACTTAAACCCAGATAACTTTTACTTCAAGCATAGACACCATTACATTTTAAAACTAAGTCAACATGTATTGGCCAGATCCTTCCGAGTGAGACAATGTGAGATCTCTCAGATGGACTGAGTGTAACAGTTTGTAGACTGTTACAAACTCAACGTCGGTTACGCTAGCCTGAATAGGCCCAAGTTTCAAGTTCCTAGAAAAACACATGATCTGTACTGTTACATTAGTATTAGGTAATGGCTAGTGCTAAATAAGGATAAAATAGCTAGGATTGGTAGTATTATAATGAGATTCCTTGTTTCTGGGGTAGATTTTCACGTTTTAGATTGTAAGGCTGAAATTCCTGTCCAATGGGAGTTTGCAGCCAGTGGTGGGTGGGTGTCTCTGCGTTAGGACTATGTAACCTTTGTTATGACCTTGTGCCTCGCCTCGCTCGGACTGCTGGACAAAGCAGACCCCCGCTTCTCACGAGAACGTAATAAATCTTTCACTTTATACCTAGAAAATCTCCGAGTGTTATTTTTGAGTAACTGTAGCACACACTTCTGTCCGATGGAGTGGCCCCATTTCTATGTGGTTTTGACACAGCTGCATACATCATTCTTCTGAGCTTATGTTCAACGAAATTCAGATAGAAACCACCCTGTGATAAGTTTCTAACCTTGTTTTTTAATCTTTAATGTTCAGAGGACTGACTATTGCACAGGTGGATAAATGTTGGATATAAGATTATTGTTATTTTTGGCTGGAAACTTATGAATTCCTTTTTGATTATTTGGACTTGGGGCCATTTCTCCTGCAAACCTTGGTTAATTTTAGCCTCACCTGACCAAAAGCTGTCCCCATGGAATGTAAATACTTACAGCCTTAAGCATTCTTTGGTAAAAAGCCAGAGGAAGAATCTCAACTTTCCCCACTCCTTGGAAATGTGTAAATCCTCCTTCTCAATCAATCTATTTGTAATCCTCTAAATATAGTTTAATCTGTAAACTGACTTAGTTTGCCTGTGGAGTTTGTTTCCTTAGGAAATGTATGAGGTTATGATTCTGTTTCAGTTTGTTCAACTTTTATGACATTGAAATAAGCATGGGATTATGGATCCATCTTTTAAACTCTTATCGCATAAGAGGAAGGAAGGCATAAGATTGCAATATGCAAATGAATTCTTTCTTTGTCACTCTGACATGATTTTTTCTGTAAGAAACCTTGTTAGAATCCTAATGATTATTCAGGTTTTCTCTGAGGCCTGAACCTATGCTTGAGCACAATAATAACACCTAATTTTTTTTCCTCCATAATTTCTGCACTGTGGTAAATATATATTTGGTAGCAATTACCCACCACATGAACTCGGAGAGGAAATATTTCTCCCATAACCTTTTTGAAAAGTCAGGGAAATGGAAGACGTACACTGAGCCAAGAGAAGTGTGTGAAAAGTTGTTGGGGGGGAAGTGACTGAATCACCCAAATCCTCTACAATTTAGAGAATACTGATTTAAAATGTAGAGCAGATGAGCAGCATACCTCCAAAGAATGGAACCCTATTGGCACTTCCTGGAGAATTTTCAGAGCAGAATAGCTGTGTAAATGCCTGATGTTTTTTCTTAGTATTTGGTTAATGTCTGTGCTCCAAGGAGCTCAAAACAAATTATGCCTATGACCCAACTAATCGCTTTGTCCAATGTTCAAAGTACAAGTTCAAGTACTTCCTTTTTGAGGTGAAGACATTAAGGTACAGAGGCACTCAATCCTGTGCCCCAACGACAGGTATGGTGCTAGAATAGAATTCAAGCATCCTGCCCGAAATCACCACTTCTCCCACTTCTGGTACATTTGAGACACCGTCTTTGTGGAAACTCTTTTCATCAGTACAATTACTACATCACCATGGTTATGTCATCATCATCATCTCCTTCACAGGGGATGATGACACGAATTAAGCACTTTCCATTTCCCTGATTGCCTCAATGGTTAGTGCTAACTTTCATCTCAAATTACTTTGTATTTACTTCTCTGTATGGTTCCTGGATGATAGAGGCTGGTTTTTTGCTTTGTATCAGTGATAGGATCAGTATTTTTCTAAAGCAACTCTTCCCTTCATTTCCAGTTTCTTGGGATAAGGCTTTACCTAAAAGAAGACAAAGTTGACTGACCCCCAGGAGCCTGATTGACCTACAAAGTCCCCTTCCCTGCCGTCCACCTGTTACTATCCTAGATAACATTGGGTAGGCTCTAGACCAAGCTGCCTTCAGGAAAAAAGGAGCCTCATTGGCCCCGGCTTCCCTGATGCAGCATCTTGGTTACCTAGGGACACACAAACTCCCAGCTGCATGGAGTTTGAACCTCTCAGAATTGCTATGTATCTAAAATCACCTAAATTACTCTATCCTGATGACATACTGACGACTAGATGCATTTCCAGAGGGAGACAAGGCTTCTAGAGAAGCTAAGTGCCTCTTAATCCTTGTGCATATTCTTGCTGGGTTAAAGCAAAGTAAACCTCTTTTGTTAAATATTCATTGCCTTATTTCATCCTCCTTTCCTCTCAACATCTAATCTGAACTAAGAGAATGCAGTAACTCCAGAAATATCCCTAGAACCTAGAAAAAATAAATATTTGTTGATTTAAATTGAATGGCCCTAGCCAGTTGGCCATTCACTTTAATTAGTCTTTCAGACACAGGAAGAGATTTGTCTAATCCAGCCTCTTATTTTTATGACAAAAAAAATAGACATATACAAGACCACGATGCAATTAACTACTACATAGACTGTGGCCACTGGTGAGTTTACTGGACTATATACCATACTATGAGTATGAATTGATTAGGACAGTGCTATGTTTAATTGTCATACATATCTAATTAAAGTAGGGTTTTTTGTTTACTTTCAGATTTTCCACCTCTGTAAGACTCCTTATCACCAGGTGGGAGAAAGTACATTGAACTGATCAGTGTATTATAGAAGAGGTCTGAGCAAGGCAAATATGAAAAAAATCCATGAAAACATTGAAATGACGAGCTAGGTCTTGCTCTGAATTTTCACAGAAATTTAGGGAAAGGGTCCAGAATTCATTTCTTCTTGGATAAGGGTTATCAGTGTATGATCTTAAAATACATGGAAGAAAGAGGGAGAGTTAAAAATAAGTTCCTGGAATACATAGTACAATAAAATAACTGACTGAGATCCATATAGCAGCGTAAGATTTGAAAGAAGCGTTATGTTCATTATCTAGCTGACTGATATCTGGAACCAATGAATAATCAGCATTTTTAGTGGCATGAAGTCATAAAATTGTAGATTTAGAACTGGAAGAGAGTCCCACTAATCCAAACTAAACCAACCTCCTCTTTTTACAAATGAGGAAATCGAGGTGCAAAGAAGGGAAATTACTCCCCATCTTGAGAGATCACTCAAACCCTGGAATTCATGCCTGGGAAGAACCCTCAAACCCTTTGACTTGTCCCTCTGATTGGAGGGCTCCTCCCAGAATCTCCATAGGAGAAAGGTGCACAAGCCAGCCATCCCTTCATTTTTATCAGACTATGGTCCCTGGTATCCCCCCCACACACACCTTTTCTGCTTCCGTTTATGTACTGTCTTCCCCCTTTAGAATGCAAGCTTCCTAAGAGCAGAGCCTGTCTTTCTTCTTTTACCTATATTTTGGGAGCTTAGCACAGTATCCAGCGCATAGTAAATATTTAGTAAAAGCTTGTTGAATTTTCCGTGCTCACCTCACACAAGTAGTTGGTAAAAAAAAAAAGTGAGGACGTGAACTCTGACCCCAAATCCATTGTTTTCTCCACTATGACACTATAATCACCTAAAACTATGGCCCGCTCCAGAATTTTCTCTAGGGTCAGGCATATAATGGTATAAAAACCATGCATGTACACAGGTTATGAGATCCATTTTTTAGTTATCTAGATTTTATTCTCCACCTGTTGAATCCTGCCCTTCATCTAAATTCTAACTCACTGTGATGTCCTTGGTCCTCTTTGAGAATGAAAAGACATCAGCAGCAATGACAAGAACAGCTCATGTACTACCTTCTCCATGAAGCCTTCTTTGATCCTACCTATTTTCTTATCAGGTCTCATGTTGCATATTATAGTCTTCATCATAGGCTTTAGAGTTGCACAGGCCCTTAGAGATCATCTAATTCCTTTGTATTATAGATTAGGATACCAAGGCCCGGAGAAGAGTAACCTGTCCAAGGCACACTACGAGGAAATAGAAGAAGCAGGATTCAAACCCAAGACCTCTGACTTCAAATCTAATTCTCTTTCCACTATATGACAATGTCTTATTTCCTCCCATGTTACCAACTGCCTAGTGAACATTTTCTACTGGATGTCAGGAAGGCATTACAAACTAAACGCGTTCAAAAGAATATTCATTATCTTTCCCCAAAAAGCCTGTCACCCTACTTCTGAACTTCTCTATTTCTAGTGAGAGGACCACCATCCTTTCAGCCACCCAGGTTTAGAACATCAGTATCATCATCAACTCCTGACTATATTTCAACCTGCATGCTTCTCCATCACCAAATCTTGATATTTGTATATTTGTACCTCCATAATGCTTCCTGCAATACATCCTCTTCTTTCCACTCATGTAGCCATTACTCTGGTTCAGTCCATCCTCACCTCTCATCAGGACTAT